GCTTAAAAGAGAGGCCTGTCTTTGCGTTCGTACGCTACCCAGCCCAGTAAGTTATCAGGTGCATCCGAACGCACGGACGTTGCGCGAGCTTCATATGCAAGCTCAGATGCTCCAGGTTTACGCTCTTCTCGAACCCGAGCAGACGAGGCAAAGCCCGAAGCCCGAAGTTTCAGGACCGAGAGCCTTGTCCAGCTCCATGAGGGCTTCGCCTCAGCGTTGGATACTCTTAAGGACCGTCGAGTTTAAAACTCATGGTTGCCCAAAATGGTTCTTGGAGCTGGGCTCAGATGCCCTCGGGGTGTTTTGAGGGCTCCAGGGACTTTAGGAGGCGTCTCAAAGCTCTAAATGAGACATTGAAGATGCTCTTCGAGGTCTGGGGGCACAGGGCTACACCTTAGCTAACCCCCGCCGACGGTGCTCTCGCAAACGGCTGTGCCGAGTGCAGCACTCATTGCCATCACCGGCAGGCTTGTGGGATCTGCATGGCTCCGGCTTCAGTGCTCGGAATGCGTTCCAAATTCGCTTCTCAACATCAGCGACCACCTCAAAAGACTTTCAGGACAGAAAGTTCAGTTCTTGAAATGCCGCGGGAAGCGGTTTGGGCAGTAAAGCAGCTTTGCTGTCTCTGCTGTTTGTGCTAGAAGGTGCCAGGTTCGTAAATAAGAGATGCTGGATCGAGTGAGAGCGACACTGCTGGTTTAGGTTGGTGCAAGCTAGCAGCGGCTAGAATGCAGGGGACGGACACCTCGGCAGACAAAACAAGGCTAAAATCAGGCAGAGCAAATCAAGTCTCGCACAGAGTGCGGCAAAATGATCCCTACAATTGAGTGACGAGTGGGAGAGCGGCGGCCTTCTGCATCCGGCATGCATTCCAGCGCTGCTGCCTGAATGCCGTTCGGCCTTGGACGGTGCGTACTCAGCTTCTTTCGTGCATTTCTGAGCACTGGAACCAGGAATGTCATGGCTTTGAGAGTTCGGGTTCGCTTTGTGACTTCCTTCCCTTGAAATTTGCAGAAACGGGGTCGTGCACATGAACCATCCTCAACTCGCTATCACAACACTTGACACTAGCCATCTTGACTCGTATCAAGTATCACTGCTAGCATCACTACACTACTGTTACAATCCGCGCCATCCTCAGCAGCCTCCTACCTCCACGAGCACCAGGTAGGAGGCCGCGGGCTTTGCTAGCGGCTACAAGTAGCGTCAGGCCTGCTGTAAGCTGCCGGCAGTTCTTGGGCGGCGCGCTGTGAGACGACAGAGCCCCCGTGTCCGTCAAAGATGCCGAACCTTGGCACCCGGCTTTTCGGGTTGAAGCCTACAAGGCTACCGTGGTGGCAGCTTTGGCCCGGGCTTTCTTTTACAGAGACTTCCGAATTCAGGTGGAAAACCCTCAGGCCAGCTTTGCGTGAGCGCAGGAATGTATCTCTTCCGTTTCAGCTCCTCGCAGCCTAACGAGTAAAGATTTGCACACCGTTCGCACTGTCGAACTACCGCGACAGTATGGGCAGAGTCGAAACGAGATGTGTAGCTACCACGGCCACCAATAGCAAGAACACTGCCCATCCTCCCTCCCAATGCTCCTACCTCCTCTAAGCTCCCTCGTTTATCCGAGCAGGCGTCTTCTGCCACTGCCGCTACTTCCTCGGCTCTGTATTGCCACCACGGTAGTCCTTCGGTACCCAGGAAGCTCACGGCATGACCTGAAAGTGTCATTCCGAAGGATCTTAGGCTCGCACAATGCAAAGTTGGCAAGGCGATCTTCCAGGTTCAGGCAGACACACGATGCGTCCTGTGCTCAGAGGTTAGAGTTCAAGTCTTGAGAGGTCCGCCTGCAGAGCTTACTGGCAGGAGTAAACCTTTAAGCCTTGTGCCACCTTGCAAAGCTTCAAGCCGGGGTCCTCCATGGCTGGCCTCCAACCACGCATCTCTGAGGAGCACCAGGACAAACGGCCCCTCGAAGAGTATGCTGCTTCAGGACTTCAGGGTCGGATCAAAATTAAGACTCTGAATATCTCCGGCTTGGGAGAGGGGTGAGGAGCTTTCTTCGAACAAGGGCACCACATCTTCGTGTCAACCAAGAGAGCGGTTGTGGCCAGCATTCAGCTCCTAAAGTGTATGTTAGTCAAATCCATGAAGATGGCAAATGCATTCGGGACAGAGGCTGTTTGACCGACATAGCTACAGCAGCACTTGCTGAAGCTCTTGCTCTACGCAAAAGGCTCCAAAAAAAGATGCCTGACACGCTCAAGAACCTGTTCGACGACAACCGACCGGGCACCGTGCGCGCTCCCTTCCTGCGTTCTTTTCAGGCGGTCCGGTCCTGCCCGCCCATCGGCGGGAGCCTCGCAACAAACAACGAAGAATCGAGAAGCCGATATGATCAAATCTGGCACGAGCTTATGGCACACTCACTGCATTGGTAGCAGAAGCACACCCTTCCGGTCTTCATGAGGTCAAACGCCCGTCGGAAGCAACCTTCCACCCACAAGGAGGGGAAGGGACCCGAGCGCAAATGCTCTGGAGCCTGATATTATGACTCGCCAGCTCCCAACAAAACCTTCAAACATCTGGCAGGCCTCTGTTTGAGGGCTAAGCTCCCGGCAGGCTCTGGCTCAGCTTCTTGCTCTTCAGCAACGTGCTGCTTGCCCTGTGCCAAGCCAACTGCCACAATCTACATTCGTTTTCAGGGTTCACATTCCCGGAACAGGAAGCACTAAGCTTCGGGATCTGAGACAGCAAAGCTTTCAGCGGCATGCAGGGAGGTTGAAGCCCTAATTGAAGCCTTTAGGAAGCCTAACCGAGGTCCCAAAAGTCCCAAAGCCCCAAGAAGCCCCAAAGCCCCAAACATCCGCCCCTCGGCCCACAAAGTGATGCCTCGTCCTTCACGTTCAGGCCGAGGCCGCCCTTCTTGCCGCCCTTCCCCTTCTTGCCACCTGTCAAAGGGAAAAAGGAGGGACCCTATATACCCTTAATATAGCCATTATATACCCATTATAGGGTAGGGGTCCCCATTAAGGGTCCCTCCTTTTCCCCTTCTTGCCACCTGGGTTAAAGTCCTTTCAGGCCTGGGTTAAGGGCCTTGGGGCCTGGGCCTCGGCCTAGGCGTGGTAATCGATTTAGGGGTCTACTAAGTTTTACGGTGTCGCTGCTGAGTGTCTGAGACACGGTTTCTTGCAACACTTTCCGCAGGCTTGGGCAGACAGGGTCCCATAAATAACCTACTTCTACGCCTGCTCCTGCTCAGCCTCCCTGCATCTTGCATCGCACTCCGCATTTGCTGAAACATGACCCTCTGAGCCCAGCACCTCGCGCCGTGGCGCCATGGCGGGGAGCCCCTCAGCGGCCGCAAAGGCTGCGCTTATTCATCCAAGGGGTTGTTTTTGAATAATGCTTGAAGTTTCGGGATCTCGATTGGGCATTCAGAGGTGAATGGCTCTGACAGTCCAATGGAGCACAAATTCGAAGTCACAAGCATAAGCTGTCTTTTCGTGACTGGGAACCCATTCCTTCTGCGAACCTTGTAACTCCAACCAAAGACTCTCCTCACAGCTCTGAGTGGGGCAACCTGCTACAGTTCTGCGTCTTACTCGACCGAACAAGTCTTTTTCATTCATTCCCCGGTGTCTCTGGGACATCTGCCCCTGACAGTGACACTGGCAACAAGATATTCGAGCTCGCAGACTCTGCATTTGGCCAATCTTACGACCGTGAAGACAAGATAAGAGAGATGCAGATTCAGGCTCTGACAATCCTTCTGGAACGTCTTCTGGACTGGCACTTTCCTCAGCGTAACTTTGAAGGCCGTGACTTTCAAGACAGAGGTACATGCATTCAGGAATCATACACATGGCATCGATTCCTGATACCTACCTACCTAGTTGCTTGAGAATCTCGGAGCACCTCTCGATTCGCCATTTTTACACATACATACATAAGCATCTAAGTCATGCCTAACCGCATACGCATGTACCAAGCCGAAGACATGCATGCACGCATGCGCGCACAAGATATGATGTACACCACGTCCAATGCGGAAGAAGCCTACGCCCCATCTCAGTGACAGGCGATGGGTGCTGCGGAAGACTGGACCTGGCCTGGGCAGAACGTTGGAACTTCAGGCTTCAGCGGCTGCAGGGTGCAAGATGGTGCGAGATTCGGGAAGTCGGGGCTCTGAGAGCGGGACGGAACCGTTTCTGCCATCCGCACTGCAAAGGTCTAATTTGAAAGCACGGCAGCTCTTAATCAACCTCATCTTGCAAATGGCACAAACCACCCATGTCAATTCTCCAAAGCTTTTTCTCCGATCTTTTGATGGAGCTCTCATTCAGTTGAGACCGGGCTCCGGCTTCGGGAGATCCCTTCCATGCAGGTGCGACCTTCAGAGGCCTCAGGCCCCATCCCCCCCATACCTTCGAAAGCCGGCACTCAGTTTGGCAGCTCCCCAGTGGCATCTTCGTCAACCGCAAGGCCTGTGCTCGTCGGTTGGCGCTGAATCGTTCGATCCGAAACTCCGGGACTTCAAAAGCACATGGCCCAAGGCTGTTTGCGGAAGGGAGACACGTACACCGTGCATGTTACAGCCCCTGGAAATCCACCCAAAGCCTTCCCTTGTAGTGAGAGCATTAATCCAACGGACATCCGCTGGAACCGAAACATATTATGTGAATCGACCATCATGGCAACAGCGATGGAAGGTGTGCTATATTGCTTCTGTGCGCTATATTGCTTCTGTGCGCTTGCAACTGAATATGAAGCTTACCCCTCTCATCAAGCAAGATGGTGGGGGCCTTTAGCTGCTCGGTGCGCCGCCTCCTCCAACGACGCGATCTGTGCAGCTACCTTTCGGGCTCTTGGGTGCTAGGGTCCAGGGGTTTAGACTTGGCTTCTGTCGGGGCTGCTCAGGACGTTCGGTGTTGCAGCTTCTCCACTAAGTTTCTGCACGGCCTGGTAGGAGTGTGTTGGGTTGTTGCACAGGATCCTGTGGCAGGAGATTCGGTGCAACCTCGTAGTCCGGCTTATCTTCAGCCGCTTCTTGAAAGATGGTGATTCTGGATGCACTGCTGAATGTATCTAAAGGCGGCTAGTTCGTGGCTAAGCATGCTCAATCAGCCTTTTGTACTTCTTGTGTTTTCTTCAGGCCTCAGTTGGGAGCCGTGTTAATGACACGTGTCATCATCACAAAAGCCCTCGCTAGGCGACACTTGGAAACCCCACATTTCCAATCTTTCAACTCTCGACACCCCCCAACTCGAGAAGCCCCAAAGCTCGAGGCCTCTGCCCGCAGCATCGCCAGCTCCTCCAACATGCCATGCAGAAGTACGGAACTATCTTCGGGAACTTCGGGCCGACAAAACCTCTCAGGCAAACCAAAGCCCTAAACCCCAACGAAAGGGCTCCTCGACCGAGCTGGCATCTGGGCACTTGATGAGGCGCGCCTGGCGAAGGCTTCAAATCCAAACTACGGTGGCGTGGATTTGGATCGCAACGTTCTCGGACCTGAAGGCTTCGGGCTCTTCTTCTTGGACGATACGCATTCATTTTGAGGCAAGCGCTTGGCTTTAGGGTCAAGGGTTCGTACAATACGGATCTGGCAAAGACTCCGACTTAAGATTCGGGGCGACATCAAACCATCATTCCAGGCTTGCAGCGGTGGGTTTCGTGATCCGGGTACCCGGCCCTCATCACTGCGACACGGTGCTCGGCGTGAGCACGATAGGCAGACAGCTGCAACAAAAGATCCTGCTTCGGGGCAGGGTACTAGCAGCCTCTCTAACTGATGGCGACTGCCACATCAGACGTGTGCTTCCATTTTTGCTGCCTCTGCTGCTGCTACGACTTTACGACCTTACTACCTGCCACGGCTCCTTCTGCTCTGCTACTCCTGCCACCACCACAACCACTATCACTACCACCGCCACTGCCACGGCCACTACCACTGCGAGTATGCCACGACGACGACTACGACTACAACGACGTCATCGTCATGCTGGTTGTCATCATCACCATCCAACAGTCATCGCCAAAATAACCGTCATCATTGCCATCATACATTGTCATCGCCATGATCACGGGGACTCCATAGACTTAGGTTTTGTTGCAGGCCCAGGACTCCCAGAATGTGATGCTTCCATACACTCTAACAGACGTTGCTGACCATCTCGATGGCTTGATCTTACAGCACCCGGGCGCCGATCCCAGCGCACAATGAAGAAATCTCGCGTCTAGTAAGGCCGTAGGGGCTTGAATTTCATGCCGATTGTATCAAAAGGCTCCACACCCCCCGAGCTCACTGATTTTGTTCCGCTAAAGGAAAAAACAGCTCACATGACGTCTCTCACTCTCAAAGCCTCCAGCCTCCAAAAGGCAAGCAACACCAAGAAAATCCACTAAAGCCAACGCCCTGAACTCCATGCTCCACCTCTCCTCTTTGGGGTAGCCTTCGCCAGTGACTCTCTGAGAACTGGGCGAGGTAAGCGATCGCTCCTCGGAGAGTCGCAACTTTGGGGAGGGCACCTGGGGTGTGAACACCGCTTCAAGCTGTTAGGCTCGCTAGCATCGGATCGTGCTCTTTACTGCTGCTGCTGCTGCTACTGCTAGTACTACTACCACCCCGACGCAAACTACCACCGCCATTGTTCCTACCACTACGATGGCCACCAGCACTGGCACCGCTAGCACTGGCACCTGGCACCGAGCTTCATCCGACTTTTCCGGCTGCAGTGGGCAGCTCCGCAGCTCAACTCGCTTTTGCGCTGCCTTCGAACCAGGTTTGGAGGGCACCTTAGGCGCTCGCACGGCTCAACGAGGAGGGAAGCGCTTGGTGGCCACAAACGTGCTTGCCTTTTCCGAAAACTGCTGTTGCTCGGCTGGTGGGCGGCTGTAGCAATAGTGTTTGCCTCAACCCAGTGTCAAACCCCGCACAACGGCAAACGCCAGGCAGGGCGCCTCTTCGCCGCATCCAGCACTGCGACTACTCTTGGCATTTTGAAAGGGCCACCGTGGCTGAAGCGGCGCCCCAAAGCGGCCAGGCGGCTGCGTCAGGCCCACGGCCTCCGTCAAAGAGACCGAAGAAGGATAGTGACTCAGTGAAGTCAGAGCTTTTCAGAGCTTTCAGGCCTCCGATCGGAGAACCAGACCCTCCCTGGAAGCAGCATCGCGGAAGTGGCCATCCCAGAGCCCACTCTCCACGTACCTTGCAGAGTCCAGTTTGCTGTTGAAGGGGGCCTGCATGTCTGGATTTAAAGCAAGGCCAACTAGTAACTAGTTCCAGAGCCAAGGTGCTTCCAGTGATCCATGCCACCATGGCGGGTTTCTGCTAACGGTGGTGGTGGTGATGATGATGACGATGACGAAGACGACAACAGATACTCGTGCTCGTGTTGAACTCACTGCAATGACACTTCTTCTTGTGATCAAGACTGTTGTTCTTACTTGGCAGTGTGCAGCTGGGGCTTGGATGCTTCGGACATCGAGATCGTGGGAGTGGGCGGATCTGCGGGAATCCAAGGCAGAGAGGCACTTCCATGACTCAGAAATTCAACTTTTTGAGCCACTTGCATCGTCCTTGAGCGACCCCAACATCCGAGGGTGCCCCACTCTGCGACATCCTTCGATTGCCCCAACTTAATAGCCCAATTTGGGGTGACGAGGGATGCCTAGCATGTGGAAACGTGACACTGTGACTATCTAAGGATCGGGTAGATGCTGTGAAGCCCCGTCCAAGCCGAGGCAATCCCGTCCCGATGATCCCGATCGTTCCTACACCTCTCGGTGATCTCGGGCACTGCAAGGTCTGACTTCGGGTCATGAACGCCCATGAAAACTATCCTGTCCTAGAAATAATCATAACAGCAATAATAATCATACTACTATTTACAATAATGCATCCTCTTCGGATTTCGGGATTCTCCCTACAGCGCATCCTTGAATGTTGAACTCAAAGCTCTCCCTCCCTGGGCCCACGCCCCCTTGCCGGCCCAGAAGCCCCTTCGCCCCTCCTCGCAGAGTCAGGAAAGCTGGGCGGCTCTGGGACGAGTGCGATTCTGCGGTTGGGGGGACTCAGGACGGGTTTCAGCTTGGTCGGAGGGATTGGGAGCGTGAAGATGTAGGCACGCTGGCTGGCTGGATATACGGACGGACGCATTTAGTTGTCTCTACACCTGCTTGAGTCTTGTTGGGTTTCGAAACCCCAGCACTGGATGCCTGGATGCGGTGTACAAAGCCACGCTGGACTGGTTTCAGCCGCCGTCAGATCTCAAATCAAAGGATACGAGCACCCTTGAAAGCAAAGTCGCTCTCCCTCGCCCGGCGAGGCTCCAGCAAG